ACATGTGTGCGAGTGGGATGTACAAATTGGAGCTTAATGCTTTGTTTAGGACAAGATAACAACATTATAAGGCTCCCAAAAACAAACAAACCAAGTAAGTTTGAAAGAATTAATTCAAATTCAAAATTTGAATTAATTAAAGAATTTTGGTGTAGAAATTGAGTCCCAAAAATATTTTGTGTGTCAAACGATGTACACAAAAAATATTTGAATAAAATATTTTTGCTTACCAAAAATATTTTATTTTATCAAAATAAATATTTGATAAATGTTTGGCACACCTTTTGTGACTGACTCAATAAAACTATTTTGAACAGTTAAAAAGATTTTTCAACTGACTCCAAAAATAAATATAATTGTTATTTTAACTCTCATAAAAATAATTTTGGAGAGAAGATATTTTTGTCATCCTTACAAATATTCCTACGACTCAAATAAATAAAAAGTCTTCGGAAATCTTCTACTCCTCCGAGTCCTCCGTTAGGCGCTCCGAACGCGTCTCGGACTCCAATAAAACCCTGTGCACCTTCTTGAATACTTCAAGGAATGGCACTTCAAGTCTTCGTGTTTGTCGTTGTAGCACTTTGATCTTGACTTGAATAAATTGTGTTTGTCAATTATCAAAACCTGTGAGTCAACACTTAACAACACAGAAAGGGTTGAACTCATGCATTCCAACAAAGCCGATTCAAAGTTATGGATGGAATCAAGGGAGAGAGAGGCGAATTTACTCGCCGAGTTGGAGAGAAGATTGGAAGAAGCACAGAGGAGTTGGATGGCGATCAACAACTTGGGTTAGGCCAAACCCATCTCCATACCAAGGGCCCCTTATCAAAGACTCGAGCGTGTCAATTACGATTGAAAGCAAAGTGTTTGATTTCCAGGTCTCAGGTAACATTATAATTTCTGAATCCATGAATGGTAGGAATCGTTCCATATCTATTTCGCGAACAACTGCCAATTGGTTGTCTGAATCCTTATGTCATCCACCATTAGCAAAGGAGGGTTGGATGATCTCACGGTATGATGGAGTTCAGTCAGCTAAGTCTCACTGGGATTCGAACGATTTTGGTGAGTTTGTAAGGGTCAGTGCAGGTATAGATAGGGAGATTTCTGTTATTTTCATCCCAGTTTGTAGGCATTCTGCAAGCATTGGGCTTTTTCTAAAGGCACTGAATGAAGTTCTCAAACTTCAAGAAGGAACCGGAATAACAAATAAGGGAGAGAACTACACCTGGAGAGAAAAAAGGTCAGGTTCTCTACAAATGATTGACCAGGTGATTCATGTGAAGGAAGGACTGGAGGAGCAGATGAACAATCCTTCTATATCCTCAACTCTTTTTGAACAGGATATCGCAATGGTTTCAAGGCTAACTAGTGTCACAACAAAGGGATATGGCTCTGATCAAGATGAAATAGTTGATTCTAAGGAAGAGGAACAGGTACAAATGCTTTTTCAGCCAGCTTTTGATGCTTACTTTGAATCCATCTTCAAGGCTGTGGAGAGCCAAATTCAAGAGGCTTTGGCAAAAAAAGTGCTATTCGATAAACTCAAATCGGGTTTACTCCAAAATATGTCGGGAAAGACACTTAGAGCATCTCGTGAGACAGTGAAAAGCATGGAAAAAGTTAGCCTAATACATTTTGAGGGTTCAAAATACCCTATTTTCTTTTCCTCCTCTAAAGCTGATGAAAAGTTGGTGCTTGATTTCTTAATAGGGGAGGAGGCTGAGGAATCACAAATCACAATTGGTTAAATTATGATTATTTTCTTTTTCATTTTTCTTTCAATAGAATGGTTAGGGAGCTGTCATTGAGGAATTTTTTATTCTTTCTGCTCTTGGTGCACTCAAAGAGAATGGACTAATGGGGAAGAGGGATCCAGAAGAGGGATCAATCTAGGGGGTTTATGGTTTAAGGTTTAAGCCTGCTCTCATATGGTGATTATGCTGAAGACTACCTATTGCAATATCAAACCAAAATAAGGTTACAGATTAGGGGGTTTTGGACTAGGTAGTAAGTTGTTTATCTCAAACTGTGCCTGGGAATTAGAGCATGGCCTGCGTAAAAGGATTCCAACCATAGGTTTGCTATTTTAGATAGCTATTTTGGGGTTCTGCCTTAGGGTTACTATAGGGTGTGCTTGGACTTGGATTTGGAAGTCTTTCTTCTGCAGTAACACCTCTCATGGAATGTCTTGGGGTTTTGGAGGCTTCTGCTTGGAGTATCTAATGGTGCTGCTTTGCAATTGTTTATGCTACTTTAGGCATCTTTGGATTTTTTCTTCTTGTTCGCTTCTCTTTTATCTTTTAGGATGCTTAGAGCATCATTTTCTTTTCTTTTTCTTTTCTTTTTCTTTTTTTGTACTCTTTGGGGTTTTGGTCCCCTTTTTAATAAACTTTGTTATATATATATATATATATATATATATATATATATATATATATATATATATATATATATATATATATATATATATATATATATATATATATATATATATATATATATATATATGGGGTTTAGAGAGAGGATCGGAGATACAGAGAAGCTTGGCCGTCCTTATCGGCGACCGTTCAACCCAAGAGGGAAACGACGGTGATATACTTTCCAAAGAAATGGATTTGTGGAGGTCCAGGCCTGGGGAAGAAGGAGGGATCGTAGCCCTCCACAAATCTGGCAATCTACAAAGTACCAAAGAGAGGTCGATTCTCCCCAGGTCACAGGGTGCAAAGGTCCTAATAAATCTCTTTCAATCCAAATTCAAACCAAGGTTTTTACTCTCTTTCACTCTAGTTACAACAAAAATTTCTGTATAAGCGAAATTGGAAAGAGGAATTACAATATATGGTTTGATATTCATGGGCTAAATTGGATTCTTGAGCTTTTCCCCAAACTGAATAAGAGAAATTCATGGGCTATCACCCGTTTTGAAAAGCATCGAAAGATTACCATTTATCATGGTTCTAATAGTTGGGGAGGTTATCTCAAGATTCTTGAATCGAGAAGAGAAGGGAACACTTCCATTTTCGTTCCTACGGACAAAGGGGGTTTGGGGTGTTTCTTGGAGGCCATTGATGCTTTCATTGGTTCTTGTTCATTATGGAACTCTTCTTTTCTTGTGGACTCTCCTAAGGCAGTGCAGGTTTTAGATGTTTCCTCCTCCTTAGGGCAAGGTAAGGCTGGACCTCTACCTCTGTTGGCAAGGGGTTCTAATAGTCTAGTGGACAAGGAAGAGATTCGTACTCCTCTGCAGCATGAAGATTCTCTAGGTGTAGAGCCAGCTAGAAACTTGCCACTTAGCCACGAAGAGCAATTGCTAATTGATGGGCTGCTTAGCCAAACTCCGAAGATGGAAGCTTCAACTTGGGCGGACTCTATACAACCGGAACTAGATCTCATGCTTATAGATGAAAAAGTGGAAGAACAGGCACGAGGGGATTTTCAAAAACGGTATGAGATGCTTAAGCCCATTTTCGAACAACATATTAGCGATGACTTCGAGAACTCCCTTTGGATGATCAAGGAAGCATTACGTTCGCCCTTCATCAAGGAAAATATTCAAAAGGGTCTTGTTTCATCTCTTCAGGGTAAGGCTTTAAAAGCGACAAGGGAGGCCATGAAGAGTGCGCAATGCATAAGAGCTATTAAGCTGAAAGGTACGCGACATCCAGTTCTCTTAGCCTGCGCCAACATTGATGTACCGATCATAACGCTATTGTGTGAACATCTCATCGACTACGAATAAAAGGGAGGTATACATGGGCTTCTTAACCTATTGTTTTTTCCACTGGATTTCTCTTGAGGAACTAGACGATTTTCTTTGGATGTACATTATCTTTTCCTAGAAGGAAGAATTGGTGCAAGGATTTTACTCACCAAGGACAGTTGTGATTTCTGCTATTCATTTTATTTTAGCCTTACAAATGGTTGGTGTCTAGCTTGGAGAGTTACTTATGTTTCATTTAAGGTGCAGATTAGGCTGTTTAGGCAAATCTCTTAGTTGAGGATATTCACCCTTCTTATCTTTTGTGGTCTGATTTCACCTGGTTGGGATATAATTGTTTAATACTTTGTGATAGGAAGTTATTCTACTTTGAAACAAAGAGGTATTTGGAACTTTGAATTTGTTTTCGGTCCAAGTTCACTAGTACAGGCTGCCAGGATGCATAATGTCACAGATGGTCCTTTTTGCTTGGCTTGGAAACATATGTGGTGCCGCTGGACATTTAAGGACAATAATGGTGTAATGGTGGACCTACACCATACTCCTCATGCTGATCCAAGAAGAAGCAGCCAAACAATCTGGTTGTTTTGAATTGTTTGGTTTTCGACCCTTATCCTAGTGGCTTTTGTAGTGATCTTATATATTTGGCCTTTTGTCTTTTGGTTTTTTATTGTTGTGTTCTGGACTTCAGGCTTCTTTGTAGAGGCTCGGCCAACCCCACCTTTGTATTCTAATAAAATAAAATATTATATAATAAATAAATAAATATATATATATATATATATATATATATATATATATATATATATATATATGGATGGGTTCTAGAGAGGGAATTCTCTGGGGATTACGGCGAACCAGATCGGAAACCCAAACCTATCTATCGACGATGGGAATCTCGCCGGGCTGATGGACACCGGACCTATTACAAACCCCTCTCAACATTTGGACAACGTTGGGGTTCTGGTTCTAGAAAGCCAATCGTAGATTCGAGGTGGCAATACCTCTCAACGAAAGGCAGAAAGCGCAGCATCCAGAGCCAAACTCAGAGAAGGAGTAATGGAAATGTTATGCAGTGGAGATACCTTAAAGAATCTAGTCCGAGTTTTCAAAGCAAAAACAAATCCTTCCAATTCCACATTGAGAATAAGGTATTTCGCCTCTTTCACTCCTTCTACCACAACAATTTTTGCATCTCAGAGTTTGGGCGTAGGGCATTCCATATTTGGTTGAATTTAGCTGAGGTTCAGTGGCTGACTGAAATTCTTCCCAATAGCAATCTGCGTAGCTTTTGGGCCTTATCTAGATATGAGGAAGGAAGGAAAGTGTATGTATCTTATGGCTTTAATCGATGGGGTTCTTATGTGAAAATCAGAGTTACAAAGGATGTTGTTACTAATTCTGTCATTATTCCAGTGGATAGGGATAACCCATTCCTTTTCAGTCGTGCGCTTGACTCCTTCTTTGGTAAGATTATAGACTCCAAAATTGATAAGAGAACTGCAAAGGAGGATGTTACCTTCTCTGCCTCTGGTACTAATAATTCGCAGGCCAAGGAGGATGTTATCTATTCTGCCTCTGGTATTGATGAGAGATCTGCAAAGGCACTTGCATCCACTAGTTTCAAGGACATACCTTCCTCATCTAGCAAACTTGTCTCTTCCAACTCTTGCATATCCAGCACGGCAGAGATAAGTTCCGACTCAACTCTTCAGATCAAGGAGGAGACAAATCTTGTTTCCAAGGACAAGAAACTTGGAGACTTTTTTTCTCAGCTTTGGATTCAATTCTTACAACTTAATGTTGACAAGTTTGCAGCTTTTATAGATGGTTTTGGTATCCAGGCTTCTCTTTTATCTAAACTCACTGGAAAAGAGAATGGTAATCTTGCTTTCTTGGAGGATCCCATGGCTGAAGATCCACCTTTAGAGGCTCAAAATACTTTGGAGGAAGAACCCGATTCACCTTTAGAGGATCATAGTAATTCGGAGCAAGTCTCTTCAGATAGATTGGCATTGGTTCAATCGTTTGAACCTATCCAGGCTATTTATCCTTTAGTGGATCATTCTCAAGTTGACCACTCCGCTGTTCGTGCTTATCACTCTGATTCTGAAATCTTTGTAAAGGAGGACAACATTGCGTTTCTTCCTTTCTTCAGAGATCAAACAGATTTTGATCCTGATCCGGAGCCTTATAGAGAGTGGTATCCTGATGACGGTATTGAGCCTGATGATCATCTTCGGCGTTGGGGAGGACCTAAAGGACTTACGACAGCTTTAATTGGTAATAATGATGAGGGCAGAATTATTTTTAAAAGAGGTTGTGTGTGTGGTTCCAGCCCACCTGCCCCAAGGAGAAGTTTAAGACTTGCAAGGAGAAGGCATCTCCACTCTCCCATTCGATCTGAGTGCTCTTTCGACACTAGAGAAAATTGGGAATCCTGACTTCGCTCTAAGGACATGGCATTTTGGGTTATGACATTTTGATTATGCTTCTCTTTTGCACTTTTAGATGTCCTTGTTAACTTTTTCCCCATGGGTTTGAATGAATAATAAGTATTGTTTAGGCAGTCTTGAGTCCCTGGCTATTGTTTCAGGTTGGCAATAACCACAATGCAACAGATTCTTTGATTCTGATTTTCGAATATGGATCTTCTGGCTTTCTAAACCAAATTGTGGTCAGTTTATAATCTTGATGGTTGGTGTATCTCCTTGGTCCCTTTTTACTCTTGTAATTGGGAATTATATGTTGAGGGTTCTTTATTCAATTGATTAATCAACATGGGTTTTGATGTTTGGAGAAGCTGTATCAACTTTCTTCATACGCAGATGGACCAGTATGCAAGATTCACTACGTCAAAAACAGTGTCAGACGACTATTGATTAACTACTGTTTATGGAAAGACAGTAGTTAAAAAAAATCAGACTACTGTTTGTTGTTGTTGGCTACAAAAGTAGTAGTCTAGCTATTATGCTTAAAACTAATTTTAAAGTTTCGAGAAATGGTTTTCTATTATTAGTTGTCTGTGTCATCAAAATGCAGTTTTTGTTATCACAGTTGTCAGTAATAAGTTAAGAATACTCTTTTTAAACAACAGTCTAGTTATTCAGTCTAGAACTGTTTTTAAAGTTATGAGAAACAATAATCTATTGTCAGTTGTCTATGTCATATAGTATTTTTGGCACTGTTGTTTATTTTAAGAATACAATACTCTTTTTTAACAATAGTCTAGATACTTAGCCAACATCTGTTTTTAAAGTCCATAGAAACGGTAATCTATTAGTAGTTATCTGTGTCATATCAAAATACAATTTTTGTTGCCACAATTGTCTCTCATAAGTTAAGAATACTCATTTTCAACAGTAGTCTGGCTATTTAGCCTAGAACTGTTTTTAAAGTTCTGAGAAACAATAATCTTTTACTAGTTGTCTCTGTCATATGGCTTTTGTTGCCATAGTTGTTTATAACAAGTTAAGAATACTCATTTTAAATAGTAGTCTGACTATTAAGCCTAGAACTGTTTTTAAAGTTCTGAGAAACAGTAATCTATTACTGGTTGTCTGTGTCAGATCAAAATACGCTTTTCGTTGCCACAACTGTCTATAATAAATTAAGAGTACTTATTTTACACAGTAGTCTTGCTATTTAGCCTAGAATGGTTTTTAAAGTTCTAAGAAACGGTAATCTATTACTAGTTGTCTATGTCATATAGTTCTTGTTACCACAATTGTCTATAATAAGTTAAGAGTACTCTTTTTAAACACTAGTCTAGCTATTAAGTCTCGAACTATTTTTAAAGTTCCAAAAAACGGTAATCTATTACTAGTTGCAATCATACAAATTGCATTTGATAAATGTTTTTTTTTAATTTTAACCAAAAAAAGTGAAATTCTAACATATTACGAACTGAGAGATTTTTTATTTTCAACTAAAATTTTAATTGATAAAAAGGAAAAAAGTTAAGGGGTGTGGCATCTCTAAAGAACATGTACAAGAAGCCAAAAGATAATAAGAACAAAGCCTAAAAGAGATTTAATGATAGAGTATATGTGAAGAATTCCAACGAGATTGAATCAAAGAAAAAAAGTTTAAAAACAAGAGAGAAGTGATGGGTTAAGAATGAAAGGTGTTTGCAAGATCGGCTCTCCTGCCAAGCAATACAAACCAATTGAAAGGATAGTCCAGCAAGAGAAGCAGACCATACAAGTTCTTACTTTACATTTTATGTAATC